TCGTCCATCGGCCATGCGATACGATGCTTACCCACTCTGTTGCTATTCTCATTCTATTCTATCTCATCTTATGTTATGCTTACTTTCGCCTTATCAGCGCCGGTCCCCGCTTCCCCAGTTCCCGATGCGAGCGCCCGCAAACGTGCACCGAACCCGTTCTTGCCCACGCCTGCGCCGTCGCCCGAGGCGCGCCCGCGCAAGACGGCGTTCCCAACGAATTCAAATAATGCGCCATCTAGATACGGCGCGTCGTCGGAGTCGAGTGCGGGGTCTGGGAGCACCAGCACCTCCTCCTCGCATTCGCATTCGGCAAGGCACCGCTACTCCTCCTCCGTATCCGTCGGCTCCGGCGGGCCAACGACGCTCGTGTCCCCGCCGACGCACCCCCTGCGGCGCACATCCACGCAGACGCAGCCCTCTTCTTCTGCGTCTTCCAATTCGAATTCCAATTCGAACTCGCCCTCGACGATCTCAGCGTCTTCCTCCACACTCCGACGCGCCCCTTCCAACCCTTTCCGCGCACCCCCGTTGCCCCCGCGGCGCGCGTCGCTGTCTAACACGCACTCCCCTCCACACCAAAATTCAACTCAAAACGTTAATGCAGGACCGCGCACGGCACCCCCGACGCGCTCCGCGTTCCCGCCCGTCCTGCCCCCTCCGCCTCCGCCTCCCCTACAACTACAAACTCAAGGCCAAGCGCAAGGGCAAATGGGGTTCAACGCACAGGTGCAGGTGTTCCCGCCCACCCCGTCCTCTGCGTCTTCCCATTCTTCGCATTCCTCGCATTCGCACGGGCACTTTCACTCGCCGTTCAACTCAAACCCCACTTCCCCGTTCAACGCCAATTTCCCGCCAGCGTCGAACTCCCCACGAGTTTCGGCGCACGCGCCGCCCATGCATCCGCACCGGCGCGCGTCCTCGGGCGCGGGTGTGGGGACGGGGGCGTTCGAGGCTGTTTACGGGGCGGAGTTGTCGAACTCCAGCAACGGGCGGAGGGTATCCTCTGATTCCGCACGCCCGATGCCTCCTCATTCTCCCCACTCCCCGTTTAGCTCGACTTCGTCAAACTCGCCGCCGTACTCACCATTCTCTGCTACCGCTCCGAGTTCGCCGTTTGCGTCCAACTCGGCACAACCACGCACAAACGCGTCTCACTCGTCCCACTCGACGTTCAAACCGCTCCCGCTCGCCCTACCAAAAGCTCTGCGGCGCACACTCGCGGGTGCGGGCGGTTTGGGCGGGGGGACAGGCAAGGGGACGTGGACGGCGAGGAATGCGAGGCGGGGGGAGGGGGATGGGGGTGAGGGTGGGGTAGGAGAAGGGGAGGCGTGGGGAGCGCTCTAGATTAATTTGCGGAGCGCAGGTGGATGCGTCGAGAGGAAGTAGAGGGGATGGTTGTGGAGGTGGGGACATCGCGGATATTCTACTTATCGGAGCGAAATAATCATGATACACGCTTAGACGCGGAGCCTTTTTCCGGGGGTTCACGTTGTCTTCCCTCCGCGGTGGTTGTTCGGTGTGGATTGGGATTTCAAGTTTGGGATTTCAAGTTCACATTCCAGTCGCGTCGTCAGAGAGGAAAGAAAAAAAGAGAGAAAAAAAGGTTTGGACAGATAATCCGGCAGCATGGCCCAGCCCCGAGTCGAACGGGGTCGTCTGCATCAACTGGATGCGCTCACTGCCAAGGGATGCTGCATACCGGATGCTACTGGGCCTTTTCTGGAATCTGCGCATCTTGGTTAGTGCCATAGCTGCGTTTGATATTGCGAACCGACACTCGATTATACGGATAATGGCCAGACAAAACGGACCTGGAAAGATTATGACCCAGTCCCGAGTCGAACGGGTCTCCTGCATAATCATGAACTGGCTGAACTCGCCAATAATGGGATGCAAATGCATACCGCATGCTACCAGGCCTTTTCTACATATCTCAGCTTTCGTAATTTCTGCGGTTATTCGCACTCATTCGCCCATTTGAATGGCCAGAAACAAGAAGCATCCATGGCCCAGTCCCGAGTCGAACTGGTCGTCTGCATGATCATGAACTGCCTTTTCTGTATGTCTCGGCTCCTTCATTAACTGCTTTTGATATTGCGGACTGACCCTTGGCAGTTCCACCGACTCGCGAGCGAGGAAAAGGAAGCAGTCGAGGCTTATGGTCCAGCCTCGAGTCGAACGGGTCCTCGGCAGAGTTGAACCATATATGCATGCGATGATCGAACACGGAAAGCAGATGCATACCGGATGCTACTAGTACTAGGACTTTCCATACTCGCCGGACAGTACGATACCTGCATTTGTAGTTGAGACTTGCGAGGCATTTGTTTCAAAATAAACTTATGTAGGGAGCGTAGTCATGCCGATTTTCTAGCTGGGATTATCCTTCTACGCATGGAAAAAAAAACCTCTCATACCGGCGTTGGGCCCAGGCCGTGCGCGGGCACTCGCATACCTGAGCGATAACTAGGCAAGGGAAGAAAAGCTTTCAACGCCTGCGTTATGGCCCAGCCCCGAGTCGAACGGGTCTTCTGCAGTCAAAGGGAAAACGGCCACAGAGTGCCAGTGCATGCCACATGCTACCGGGCCTTGCTAGGCTCACTCACGACGCGGAGGTAAGTACCAGTTCAAAGTGAAATGTGCTAAATGACCTCTGCGCAAGGAAAAAGCGTACCCTTCTCCGTTATTTTGGATAGACCCTGTTCAGTGTCAATAATATCCTGCACGGACCAAGCACGGACATGAGAAGCATTCTATGGAGTGCAGATGGATACCAACTGTTGTTATTGCTGAACCGCGTATGCTCCTAGCTATGCTCACTCGGCCCCCGATCTTTTCAATGTACAAAAAGAAGAGAAAAACGACGAACATGTCAGACATAATATGGCCCAGCCCCGAGTCGAACGGGTCTTCTGCAGTAACTCTTTGAGGTTCAAGAATCAACTATCATACAGATTGCAGATGCATACCACGTGCTACTGGACCTTGCTAGGCGCTAGGCTCACTTATCGACAAGTGAAATGTGCAAAATGACCTCTGTCCACGGAGAACTGGCGCGGCCTTTGCTGCGTAACCTACTTAACTGATACGAAAATGGTATTGATAACCACGAGCCGACCCCCCGTTTTAGCTCCCGGCGAAACAGGAAAAAAGGCCTTATCCGTTAACTAACAATGTCATTGGCCCAGTCCCGAGTCGAACGGGTTTGTCTGCATCCATCTTTTCGCGGATATCAGAACGCCGTGCAGTTGCATGCCACATGCAACATGCTACTGGACCTTCTTGGCCTCTGCAATATTTTTTGCAAATTTGAACGGAAAAAAATCAATACCAAGCCCGCGTGTTTCCTCAGATTTTTTCAATAGTCATGACCCGGGTGGCTTGATAATCATAACCCGACCCTCTGGCATCTAGCCCCCGAGTCAAACGGGTCTTCTGCATTAATTTTTCTCAAAGGGAAAACAGCCACAGAGTGCCGATGCATGACAAATGTAGTCTCTCCAGACAGACTATCACTCGTAACCTCATTACTTAGTCTGTTAGTTACCGCGTCTGATAAGCGGCGTCCAGCCTTATTATGTAACGATCAGGGATACACAGCCAAATAACACGTAGAATTGACGCGTCTTCGAGCAGTTTGACGTGATCTTGGGCGTGAAAACCTGTACATACCAGCGTGGAAGTTCCTCAGAGATCTTCGCATGCTGCCGTAGCATTTTTGGATTCACAAGCTCTTGAAGTCTTAATGCGGCCATAAAGCCGGATCTCGAGTGGGCAAAGTGGTTTCGGAACAGAATCCGCTGAGAAAGTATGCAGTTCGGGTCTATGACATGTGCAGTGAGCTTTGGAACTCATTTCTATGCTTTAATCCACGACGAACGCGTAAAGTCGCGTCTGGTCGCGTCGGTGCAATCAGCACGTGATGCTGCTTATATAATAACCCTGGTCGCCTATTGACAGGGCGTGGTAACCACAGGACTATGACAAATGCTACTGGCCCTTGCTAGGCTCACAACTGCTCCTATTGAGTTACGACCTTCAAAGGCAGATGTTGGGGAGATGGCTTTGCTCAGGCTGGTAGGAAGAATGTCGTTTATAGTATAAGTATATAATCACGAACCGAACTTCGGTTTCAGCTGCCGGCGAAACCAGAAAAAAGAACTTTCAGCCAACTGACATGGCCCAGTCCCGAGTCGAACGGCTCTCCTGCATATGCATTGAAAATTGAATCAATCTGTGCGACATTCTCGCAACATTCTCGTGCAGATGCATATTGCATGCTACCAAGGCTTCATATGCTCATAGCCCGCTTCATGTCATCAATTAGGGATAGCCAAGGCATGGCGTTTTTCGGGAGGCAAAGACAACCGAAGTTGAACGGAAGCCAGCAAGAAGCCAAACAGAACTTCAACTTGCTGGTTACAGTTACTAACGCACGTTACATCCGAGTGGCGCGTGACTACCATCCTGTTTCGTCCCACCATGTTCTCCGGACTCTCTGCCATCCGCCGCCTCCGCCTCTCCGTACCGTCCAAACTGTTCACATCCAGTCTCAAGGAGGGACCCGTTGCACAATGTAAAGGATCTGGGTACGTTCCTCCCGTCTTTGCATTGTTTCTTGCATATACACTTACACCTCTGCAGGGAGAAAGAAGTTAGAACGGGCGCAATAAAGTGGGCTTCGATCTCGTGGGTAACCTTCAAGCGTTTAACACCATCCTCGACGTGATCCGCACCACACTCTTCCCCAAACTTCCTGTCGTCGACAGGAAGTTTGGGGACGGGCACTACCTCACCGTGCACCGCGAGCGCCTCGACATGCTCCTCGCCGGCTCCCGTCTGCCCCCGCAGCCCTGCGCTCTTGGCCCTTCCCCTCTTAACCCCAATAACCCGAACAACCCGAATAACCCGGTGAACCGCCTGGCGACAGTTGAATGTGAAAACCGAATCATGAAAGGTTGATGAAAGGGCATGACCCCGTCATGTGTCGGTGTTGCATCGGTTCGATGGTGTAGTTGGTTTATCACTTCTGTTTTACATTCATGTTCACAGGCGGTCCTCGGTTCGAGCCCGGGTCGAATCATGCTTTTTGTTTGCGCCCTCTTTTCGTTCAGATGGAGCCTTGCAATGTTTTCGAGCCGGGTGCTTAGAACTCATGGCGCTTCATCCCGTGACTTTCAGCCTCCTTCTCGTCACAAGAGCCTTGGCCTTTGATTAATTGATGCTCCGAGCCAAATCAAACCGACCGTAGGTAGAATAGCGGTTTTACTTTACTACGTATGCTGTTTCCATGTCGGATAGGCAGGCAACTGGAATGCTTTGAATCCGGCTGACGGGATTAATCTTGAATCCCAGTTGATAAATACACAGCGACACACTTAGTGGTGTTTTGAACTAGGGAACTCAACCGGCAAGTCCAGCTGCCATGATATAGGGCGAGTAACTAAATGTCCAACTCCTTTGTGTACCGTAGCCACGGCATCTCAATCGTGCGACCGACGCTCAGCGGTTCGATGGTGTAGTTGGTTTATCACTTCTGTCTAACATTCGTGTTCACAGGCGGTCCTCAGTTCGAACCTGGGTCGAATCAGTTTTGCGTAACGTATGTACCTTCCCAATCCTTGATCCTCGCCGAGCATCGTTCACGATTTATCGATTTCTCTCTTTTGTTGAACGACCACTGCGGGCTGTAGATGTCTCCTGCGTAGCCAAGACTGTTAATTAGTTGACAGTCTGGGTGATCAGTGCGATTTTTGTGCAGTGAATACCAAGTGGAAGTTGAAGTTGAACCTTGACGCTTTCGGGAACCCGGGCCGGCGTGGGAACCATCATGTTTGGCGATGCATCCATCGCTGAGTAACCCTTTCTCGTACCACCACCACCGGCTGCGAACCTCTTGCCAGATCGTACATCGCGCGATATCGCATTCACAACCTTTTCGCGCCCTGCGTTGCAAAGCAGCCGGCGCTGCTTGATTCTTCCTTACCACCCAACTTTGTCCCTTCGCCCAGTGACTCCAGTTGTGGTCTTGGTTTCGGCATACTCTCTCGATGTTCCGACCCTGGTACCGTAAATTCGAGTCTATATCTCCTCTTGTGGCTCAACAATGCTGGAATTTTTTCCGTGGTGGTGTGTATGCCAATCTTGCGGTGGCGCTAAATGCCGACACAAGGAAGAGGACTGTACTTAGTCGTTGTCTTCATTCGCCGCACGTTATGACGCAGTGTCACCTCCCTACAGCTATCTCAGAACCAAGGTGCTGGAGTCGCTGGCCGTCCAACGAAATCCTGCCGCTCTTGAATCTGACATAGACCAGATTCTTTAATTCACCTCAACTCATCCTTCACGCAGCCCTCGCTCTGCATTCCCAGGCGGCGGAACGGTATCAGGTCGCCTTGCAGGCTTCAAGATCTTTCCACATCGTCTGATGTATGTATAATTATCCAACGCCGTATCATCTTTCGTCAGAGTACTGATTGTGCTTGCAGGCTCTCGGCCCGCGGACCTTGTCCACACCCACCTTGGCCCCCTTTGTCTCGAAGTCCATAATCCCCGTCGGTGTGAGCAGCCTAAATTTATGGAGGGCTATGCCGGGCGGCCAACCTTGATAGTAAGCATTGACACCACTTTAGTCCACTATTCACATATGGATTGCGGCAGATATCTGTCGGTAACCACCGTTTGCACGCCCTCCCGGTCGCAACCCGCTACTTGTCGCCCTGTCCCGCTGCTGATGCGGAGAGCACAGGTCGGGCCCGAAACTACGCCGATGTTCGTTATGACAGACATGACCTGCGATAGATCCTCGGTAGGAGAATTACGGCTACCATTTCAATCTCTGGGAAACGGGGGACTTGCTTCCGGGTCCAGCTACCTGACTGAATGACCAGCACCAGATTGTCGGGGACCCGAGTTGGTACACATGCGAGATCTGCTAGTGCGGTCGGTGCGCGCAGCCTACCCGCATAGGACGACAGTCCGAAAAGTCTACAGCGGACGACTGAAATGGGTTAGTCCGGGTTTTCCTGACCGCTGTTCCATGCCATTAACTAACTGTGACGGATGATCACCAGACAGGTGCCGCGGGAGGCAGGTTGCGCGCACTCGATTACGGTCGTGACGCGCCTTCGGGGCTGCTGTCGCTGATACTCTCGTTCTTAGCGTTGTGCTGCATCGCCCTCTCGCCTAAATCAAGCCCGAGGACATCGATCGCAACTGGGACGAGCTGGGAGTTGCCGGAGACCAGTCGGCAGTGAAGCCTCCGGTTTCTCGTATAGCCGGGCTTTGCCGGCAACCCTCAACCCTTCGACTAGAATTCTCAATTCGTGAAGAATTAATTGATGACGAACAGAAAAGGGATACCGTCCGTAATTTGCCCGCTATCGAAAGACGCCGCTCTGTGCGATGGAGGGCGATAGTCCTCGCATCTAATTCTCTTGCTGTCCCTCGACAAGTGTGCTGACGGTGGATCCAACTCGCTCCGATCACTTCCGTATGACTGGTTTCAAAGACAGCTAAGGATAGCGGGTGTTCTACACAATTCATTTGAAGGGGTAACGATTTTCTCACAGCTTATGGCGGAAGACGGCGATATCGAGAAGACGACAGTAGAACCATCAATCAGATGCAATGTGCGAAAACAGCAGTCTTAGCCCATCGGCGGCTAAAGACGTCGTTTTTGCGTCGCTTCGCGAAATCTGACTTCTTAAGCCCAGCGCATCGCACTCCGACTATGATCTAATCCCCTCCCTCTTTCCCCCGACCTTCCCCTCGCTGTTAAGGATACCGCTGAGGTACGCATCGCCGCCAGCCTCAGTCGTCTTACACTAACATTCCGGATTAGTTCCTCGCGACCCTTCTCGGTCTCTATCCTCCCGCCGCCCCGTATCACCGCAGGCCACCCGCAATCGTGCAGAAACCCCTCTTTATCACCCTTACGCATTCTCCCTGTATATACAAATGCCCGATAACGCGCCCTCGCCCTCTGGGTCCTCTGCATCCGATGGGTCTGCATCCACTGGCCCGCCGTGTACCCCACCATCCACGACGCTCCCGTTTGTGATGCCGACATTTATGAACTTTACCAGAGACGACACGATCGACGGCGCCATCGGCGCAAAGCGCACCTGCAAGACGCGCCGCGTCAGTACCGCCGAGCGGCGCGCCACACACAACGCGGTTGAGCGGCAGCGCCGAGACGCACTGAACGGGCGATTCTTGGTGAGTCCTACCTGCGGCTTCTGTTTCGATGGGGCTTATCTGTGCCCTTCAGGACCTAGCCGCGTTGTTATCGAATCTCAACCAAATTCGTCGTCCGTCGAAATCCGCCATTGTCAACTCTTCCATCGCACACCTGAACGCTTCGCGTCGCCACCGCATTCTTTCAGCACAGCAATTGCGGATGATGAAGAACGAAGCTGATGCACTGCGACACGAAGTCAACGAGTGGCGTGCGCGCGCCGGCGTGGCCTTTGTCGAAGAGCCCATGCGCGGCGACGCGTTTGGCATCGTTCTCCGCGGCGAGCTGGAGTTTGAGGCGGGTGATATGCTTGAAGGCGACTTGGGCGACGACGACGAGGACGCCGCTGGGATGTACAGTGGACCGCAGCTGCCCCTCGAACCAGAGGAGCACAAGCTACTCCAGCGCCAGCATCACAAGCGCAACGCACCCAACCATGAGATGCAGCAACTCCCATTCCCGCACGATGTGCACCCACCTACACCTGCTCGTGCGTTCCACTCTCAGGGCTATCCGGCCCCCACGCAATACCCCGATTACTATACCACCTCGCCGACCATCCCTGGCCCCGGCTTCGCAGCGTTCGACGACCCCGCAACGGGTGTGATTTATGAACACGCCGCCCATCCCGCCATGCAAGGTCCTAAATGGGCCCAGCAGGCTCAGCAACACATGCTCCACGCTCACTACCACCAGCAGCAACAGCAGCAGGGACGGTGGTGATTCCGATTCGCCGTCCCGTCCCTGCCCTCACGTTCTTTTATACTGTTCCCTAGATCGACCGTACGAACAGAACTCTGGTCTGCCAGCTTTGTTCACGAATCCAATGTTGTAACCGTTATATTCAGTGAAATCCTATCCCCGCCAGATCAAAGCCTTATTTGCTGTCTCTCTGCTAGTAGCTACGTGCGTTCGGCAAGCTGAAGGCAGGTCATATCGAGGGCTCCGGCTAACTTATTAGTAACTTGCTGTCACCTTTGCAACGCCTCAGTCTCTTGCATTCAACTCCCATTCCCTTTCTAGTTGTCCCGGTAGGTGTAATGCCGGTGGACACCTCTCTCAGCTTCGCCGTGAACAAAGACGTATCTAGACAGATGGGTTTTTACCGCGTGCGCGAATTAATCTACTGGAAAAAGACTCGCCGCGAAGAATGACAGTCGTTTCTCACTAGGTCTCAGGCTGCGGAGAGCACGACAGCAGGCTCAAGGCCGCTGATTAATTACCGTTGGCGGCATTTGGTTTCATTGCAACGGAACGGGTGCCTAAAAGGGTAGGAACGTCGAAATGTGGAAAGTTAGCGACTTAAGCGGCCTGCAGCCGTTCATATATCGGAACTAGACCAGTTTGGACCTCTATGGCTGGTTAGGGACCCCGAAACTTAGTGGCATCTCTGCCCCTGCGGGCACACTTACAAGACGGCGATGCGTTTCGCGCGCGATTTCCAAGCACGACTACAAAGGGTCCCATGCAAGTCCCATGTTAGATTGGCCACGCAAAATTACCGGAATACGAACGTTGGCAGACGGTGTGAATGGGGATCCAGACCGGTGACTGTACTAATATGAGAACTGTCCGAGCTTGGTCCTGGGTATGTCAGTCTCCTTCTTCTCTGAAGAGCGGAAGTGGATTGTGACATCGGGAATAATGGGCAGTGTGGCGAGTATATCGGGGATGCACGATTGTGATTCGGAGAAAAGGGTGAGTCGACATATCAGTCGGACGCGGTGAATCATTGGTACGAGGTAGCATGCTGCCTTGGGAATGTGAACTACGCCCGAGGCGACGCTCGACCTTGAAACACCGTGTCCCGAGAAAAGTGGGAGAAGGCCCACTTGACGGAAGAC